CATAGAGAGAAATCCCCATCACAAGGCCATGTGGACAGAGGCATCGAGGAGGCATGTGAAGGGCGAGCCAGTGGGTGAGATCCTGAGCAAGATCCTTGAGAACTACACGGCAGCGGTGGATTTCCCCGTTGCGGCCTGGTGGAGGGAGCTATCTGAATTGAACCCGCGTGCGAAGCTGATCCTGAGCGTGAGGGAGCCCGAGAGGTGGTACGAGTCAGCCAGCCAGACCATCCTGCCCGATCCCTGGTTGCTGAGGATGCTTGACACCCTCTCCGATGTTCACGATCCGGTACTGCCTGTGCCAGACGCGTTCTGGGACAGGGTGCTGGGGGAGGGGAGGCGGAACAACATCACACGGGAGGAGATCATAGAAGAATTCAACAAGAACGTGAGGGAGTTCAGAGACTTCAAGCTCCCCGACGAGCAGAAGCTGGAGCTTAAGGTTGGCAAGGATGGTTGGGCACCTTTGTGCAAGTTCTTGGAGCTGGGGGACAAGTGTCCTACGGAGCCGTTCCCGAGGGTCAACGACAGGACAGACTTCAAGTACAAGATCATCCTGCCCATCGTGATCAGGGCTGTCACCACCAGCAAGATCCTGCTCAGCGTTGTCCTGCTGGGGTTGGCATCGGTGCTGTACGCTCTCAGGTGCTTGACCAGGAAGATGCTGCGGAGAAGGGAAAGGAAGAGTGAGACCGAAGTGACTGGTGGTTTGCCTCCTTCCTGCTTGCTCGCTCTTGTGAGAGAGTGAAGGGGCTGAGACTGTAAACACGTGATGATAGCCTTGTCACTAGTGTCGCATCATGCATGACACAAGTTGTACACGTGATCGCCTCCGATCGGAGTCCATATCGTGCCGAAGTTCAGCGCGGCGAGACTCCGCGACTCCGCGACTCACTGCGGCGCCCGCGGCCGGGTGCCGCTAGCCGAGTCCTGGCACAGCCCGACGCCGGGCGGCCAGCCGGGCCGGGCCCGGTCACAGACGGTCCGATTCACTGTCACAGTCACGGCGCCGGGATCGCCTGCCGGCATGCCACAGCCTGGCGGAGTGATCTCAGCCGGGCCGCGGGCCCGCCGGGGGCGCACGGCCGGGCGGCAGCGTCCGATCACTGAGTCGCGGGTTGAGCTCGCCGGGTACTGACGGAACTTCGGAATACAACTTGGCAAGCTTGTTAGACTTGTACTAGTCGACCAGTACGGTTGTGACAAGACAGTTTTTGCTCAAGACCGAGTTTAATGCACACAAAACCAGAATTGAGGAGCACATGAGAGATAGACTGTATGCTAGGATGTGAAACCCAAGCATCCAGACATGAGAGGACCTTAACAAGACGGCTAGGAAAGCCCCCTCTTCGTCCCACACCATCACGCTCCATCGGCCGCCTTCAACGGACATAGTAAGTCGTCTTGGTTTACAGGAGAGTTTTTGTTAACTCGGCGCTATCTGACTGGCACGGCTGGCATACGTTCCATCTACGCCGGGCCCGGGCCCCACTGAGGCCCGGCCGCACTGGGCCCGGGCCGGGGGCCCCGGGGGGCGGGCCGCATGGCGGGCCGCCGGAGCACGAGCGGGGATGAGGGTTCAATTCAACTCATAAAGGGATCGAGAAATAATAAGAACATGGCGGCGAGGACGATAGCATTGGTCGTGATGGCATGCGGAATGATGACGATGACGATGGTTGCAGCAGCATCATCATCATCATCATCATCATCATCTGAAGATCAAACAACATCATCTCCCTCACCGGTGAAAGGAAAGTTCGTCACCTGCGCTGGTTGCAAGCTCAACAAGCTCCCCAACACAAAGTTGTTCGTGAAGGGAGCTTCGGCTGCCGACGTAGCAGAGATCAAGTCTTACGAGAACCTGGAAGTTGAGTATGTACAGGGCCATGTGCCTGAGCTACACATCTACAAGGACGATGGTAGTGCGGAGCCATCGGAGAGAATCAGTATTGGAGAGCTCGGGGACGACGTGGGACGCCTTCGGGACCTCTTGAAGGAGAAGGGGTTCAGGAGGAAAGCAGAACTATGAGGAGGAGGAGGAGGTGAGGGGGGGAGGAGGAGCGGAGGCGGAGGAGAAGGAGAAGGAGGATGAGGCAGAGGAGGAGGAGGAGAAAGAGAGAAGAGGCGAGGCGAGGAGCGAGGGAGGTTAAAGATGTACAGACATTTCATTCGCACAAAATTTGACATTGAACTACACAGCGAACAACTCTGCGCTGCAACATTGTATACAACCTTCACATGCACATCCGGGAAAAACTCATCACAACACAATGAGGGACGGGTTGAACACGTTCCTCAAAACTTCTACACATGTCTCGTCACACAAACAGAAGGGAGAAATGCGATCAACGGCTGTGGGGCCTTTCCAAGAACTCGTCTTCGTCAAGAAAGATGTCCATGCAGAGAGGTTTGCTCTTCTTGCCGTTGGGAGACTCCTTCTCGGCCCGCTGAGGAGAAGAGCGTCAGTGGAAGAAGAGGAAGGGAAAGATGGAAGGAG